ACCATGCTTTGCGAACTTTGACTCTCCAAAATGGAAACAAAGCTCATTGCTTCATCTAACTAGTCTGTCTAGTATCTTGTTACAGTAATAAGTTAATGAAGTGACTCCTATTGAAGGGCTGGTGTTCATGGGACGTGGGAGAGAAAGGCCTGAAATCACTTCGGATTATCAACTACCTTGAAAATGGACTTTGATAACTGTATATTATCAGTTAAGAATATGAAGATAGCCATCAGTTTGCTGAATCTTGCAAATTTTATATTTTCAATTTTTTCCTCTTAGTAGTAAAAAATGATCATTCTGTTTAAAATTTTTGATTACTGATAATTGGCCCCCTGAACTCTACCTCTGACCCACACCCCCCAGTTTGAACCACTCTTTGCTTAAGGTGATTTCTCAGTTACTTTGGCTTCATCATACAAATGAAAGTGAAAAAGCTGGTTAAGAGGTAGGAGGTTGCCTAATTTGTCTCTTTATCCACTCCTTAATAACAGATATTAATCAAGTAATCATGATGATGAAATGTGTAGTAACTTAGTTTCATAAAAAGAGGAGGTTGAGAAAACAACAAAATGCTGGGCAGTGGTAGGGCAAGCTTTTAATCTCAGCCCTCAGGGGGAGGGGCAGGGGGAATCTCTGAATTTGAGGCTAGCCTAATCTAGAGTTTCAGGACAGCCAGAGCTATACAGAGAAACCATGTCTTAAAAAACAAACAAGCTGGGAGGTTGTGGCTCATGCCTTTAATCCCAGCAGAGCCAGCATAATCTAGAGTTCCAGGACAGCCATATAGCTATACAGAGAAACCATGTCTTAAAAAAACAAACAAGCTAGCCAGGTATGGTGGCACATGCCTTTAATCCCAGCAGCGGCAGGTGAATCTCTGTGAGTTCAAACCAGCCTAGTTAGTCTACAAAGGGAATCCAGGCCAGCCAAGGCTCCACAGAGATACCCAGTCTGGAAAAACCAACCAACCAAACAAAAAAAAGACAAAAACAAACAAACAGAAGATCAACCAACAAACAAGCCCTGTGGCAGCTCATTCCTTTAATCCCAGGTCTTGGTGGAGGCAGGTGGATCTCTGAGTTCAGAGGCCAGCCCGGTCTACACAGAGAAACCCTGTCTTGGAAAACCAAAATAAACAAAAAAGGACGTGGCTGGATATGATCAAAGTACACCATACACACATATGAAAATGTCATAATGAAATCTATTCTTTTATACAATGACTATATGCCCCCTTGGGACTTGTAACATAAAATGGAAACCAACAATTCATAAAGACAATGTTAAAATATATAAAGTAGGACTAGGGATGTATTACCATTGGTCAAGTGCTTTCTTGCCCAGCATGTACAAAGTCCCAGATTTAAAGCCTCTCAGTACATAAATTGAGTATGGTAGCAAATGCTTCTAATCTCAGCTTTTGTGAGATGGAAGTACGAGGATCAGGAATTTAGGGTCATTGTTGGTGTCAATAGGAAGGCCACACTAGGTAATGTGAACCTGTCTCAAAAAACAAAACCATGTGAGACAGAGAGACAGAGGCAGGCAGATCTCAAGGAGTTCTAGGTTAGCCAGGGCTACATAGTTAGTCTTTAAAAAAAAAAAAAAAAAGCCAAAGTGTGCTTAGGTATACACAGGATAATATTCAACTAAAATTTAAGGCATTTTTAATTGAATGCATGAATCTTAAGTTTTTATTTCAATTCCTACAATACTGCTCCTACTTCTCAGGTGTCTAACCTTTTTTCCCCTCTCAAGTGGAGGCTGTCTAGATCCCTATTTAATCTAGCACCTCAACAGCTCAGGTGTTACTTGGAAAAATTGGGCAAAGGAAAACAGTAACCACTGATTCTGTAGACTAAATGCTCTAAGTTGTCACTTCTTGTAATCACATCGTTGAATGGGTCCTTCTTACAGCCATGTGCATGTTAGAAGTTCCCCAGGCTTGCATTGGTTAACAGCTAGTAAGCAGAAGTGTTAAAAGTTCTGAGTATAGTTTGGCAGGTTGTCCAATGAGAATTGGGCACAGAAATTGAGCTACCCTAGTTAATCACAGATGTCACAAGATTTGAACGAGCCCGGGTTCCTCAACATCCAACTACGGAGAGAGGGAGGTGCTAACTGGGGCCTACCCCACCCCCAGGACTTACTAGTTGATGAAGGAATAAGAAACATTTTTTTCAGTGGTATAGCCATTGGTAAGGTGCCCATGCTCCCATAAACAACCATAACTCAGTTCACTAAGTCAGACACACAAGGGGGTGGCTAACTGGAAAAAGGGAGATCATCCGAAGGATAAAGGTGGGTAATAGATGTATGTGAATGTGATTAAAATACATTATATATATATATGTAAAATGTCATGGAACCCATTGTTTTATATATACTATAGGGTGTAGAAGAATTTTAATTGAGCACTTGGCTGCTCTGGCAAGACATCACATCCAAAGACCTTCTAGGTCTGTGTGATCCTGCCAGAATACAAGACAAGCCTTTAATCCTAGGAGACAGATGCAAGCAGATTTCTGACTTCAAGGCCAGCCTTGTATAGAGCAAGTTTCAGGTAAAGGAAAGCTTAGGTCCAGGTGCGGTGATACATGCCGTTAATGCCAGCATTCAGGAGACAGAAGCCATGCAGACCTTCGAGTTTTAGTCAGTTCAGCTGAGTCAGTGAGTTGAGAGACTGTGAGTGGAACTAAATCTGTGGCAGTTCAGCTGGTGGAATTCAGAGGCCTTTTTACCAGGAGAGAAAGGTTGACAAGAAAACAAGCTAGATACAGGTAATGACAGGACAAGCCAGAAAAGGAGCCAGAAGATTAGAAGAAATTGTTAGTCTGAGCCAGAACAGCTCAGCTGAACCAGTTAGCTAGAGCTCAGAAAGAGCTAGAAAAGGTAAGCTTATTCAGCAGTAAATCTCAGAGGCTGAAAGCATTTCAGGCCTAGATTGTGTGGAGGCTAGAAGCTTCCAGGACTAGGCCTAGGTTAGTAGATGGAGACAGTAAGCATCGTAGGCAACATTTAAAACAGGCAAATAAAAGTTACTTTATGATAGGGTAATAATATCATCTAAAATAAAGAGAAGTCAAATACGAAAACAAGCAGATGGTAGGGCAGCAGCTGCTGGCAAACAAGACAAGCAGCAACTACATAGGACTAAGGATGTGGGGAGCTCAAGAGCTCAGACAGTCCTGCTCAAACATGAATGTGGTCTTGCTTCTTTCCACAGAAACCCTTAAAAAAAGTTTTAACGGGTGGAGCCTTTCAGAGGACCCTCCATAGTAGGCTCCCATCCTTTTCCCTCTCTTCCAGCGCTTTTGGTGTCTATCCTGTTTGCCATTCTGAATGAGAGTTAAGCATCCTCCCTAGGATCCTTCTTAAGTGTTTAGCTTCTTTGGGTCTGTAGATTTTAGCATGGCTATCCTATATTATATGACTAATATCTGCTTATAAGTGAGTGTATAGCATGCCTGTTTCTGGTTTACCTCACTCAGGATGATTTTTTTCTAGTTTCATGGACCCATTCTTGACACAAATTTCTGCTGTAACATGACCAAAATTAGCCTGAATAAAACTCATGCTCTACAAAACTATTCACTGGAAATGTCAGTCTCCAGGGAAAACATGAAGTGAACCTAATCAATTATTTGGGTCCTAAGATACAGAGATGGAAGGAAACCTCTCTTGCCTCTAGCCAGCTTTGCAAAGTCCTTGATCGAGACAATGGCATACATGATGTAATGGCGTCTTGCTTTTTTTTTCTTTCTCACCTACCCCAAATACTAAACCATCTACTACCAACAGTTTTCAGTCCAGCCTAATTCAGTGCATGCTCAGTGGCTTCCAACATTCTCCAGCCCAGGCCATGGCTTCAAACTCAAGCCACTTTTAGTAAAAACAAAAACCCCTTCAACTAGAAGTCATCACTGGAACTGTTGACCAAGATGGAGTCTCGTCCAGTAAGAGGACTCATGGAGTATAGGAAGCTGGGTTTGCTTTGGTGCAGGGTCTTGCAGTCAGCATGACGGCCACCAAGCCATATCCCCAACCCAAAGAAGCAGCACTTCACCTGCCTTAACTGCAACAGGGGCCCACACATTAACAGAAGGAAGCCGTATGGGTAGCCATCACTGGAGATGCTCAAAACCAGACTGCAATTCAGCATGGGATGAAACTGAATTTCAGCTCAGCAGAAGACACTTTCCTCCAATCTTCTTGGCAAGACCCTTGGGAGCTACAGTTCTACTCCATCTTAGGCATCTGGTAAATGCCTTTACAAGAACAAAGTTACCAGCAATCACCAAAAAGCTTCCAGAGGCCACCTAATGTGCACCTCACCTTCAAATTCACCAAAGGAATTTAAAAACGTAACCAGAGGCTGAGAAGATGACTTAGTGGGTAAGAATGCTTGCTATGCAAGCATGAGTACCTGAGTTCAAATCCCTGCCAACCAGGTAAAAAGCGGAGTCTGTCTACACACATGGCCACAACCCCAGTACTGTGGGGTGGACAGGAAGACTGCTGGGACTTGCTGGCTGCCAGCCTAACTCCAGGCACAGTGAGAGACACTGTTCTCAAGAGAACAAGGCAGAGTATGGCAATGAAGGCACTAGCATTTAACAACAAAATCTCTCCTAGATAAGGAATACAGTAAGCCGTCTAGCCCCACAGAGAAGCCATGGCCTCGTGTCTGTCCCACAGGCTAGAGGGCTATTTCCGCTCATGCTATAGCACTAACAAGCAAAAGTCTCATTCTTACTTAGAATTTTTCAAATTACTTTTAACTGATTTGTGAGATGCTTGTGTGTGCGTGCACATGTGTGTGTGTTTAATTAAAAAGTTCAAAGAATGCCTATTTGTCGAGTTCAAAAACCTGCCTGCCTTTACAAAGAACCTGTAGTACTTCATAAGCAAGAGTATTGTCTATTCAGAAACACCATTCATCCCCAACTTCCAACATAAATACCACCTTCACCTCACTGCAGACATACAACACACAATTTGGCAGCACAGTAAGTGGCTTTTATTTTACCATTTGTAGAAAACTGGTATTTTTATTTCAAGGTTCATATTAAAAAATTATCAGCAGTAGTTTTGAGCATTCAGCAATGCTGACAGATTCCTTGTTGCTCATACAAGCAAGGCTGTTAATCCATGCTCAAAAAAAAAAAAAAAAAAAAGACTTGTCCCGAGAGAGCTCATCAGATCATCTGCCACAGAGCTCAGGACCCATTTGTCACAGTGTCTTCTTCTAGCTCTTCTTCACCATCATCACTCGGCCCTGAAAAAAACCCACAAAACCAGAAGTCAGGTTAGTTTTGTATTATCTGTCCACTCACATTGATTATCTGTCACATACACATTGATTAAAAAAAAATGAATGAAAGTACACACACAGTTGTTAATCATACTACACAATTTGTGTCAGATTTTTGCAGATTTCTGAATTTGAGTCCAGTCTGAGCATGGTGATAGTTTCAGGACAACCAGGAGCTATATAGAGACCCTGTTTGAAAACAACAGCTAACCACCTACCAAAAGTTTTGCTCATTCAAATGTTTAGGGAAGCTACCAAAGCTTGCTTGGCTGAAGTAGTAGCTTCTTACAGCTAGTTCACAAGGGGAACGAGAAATTCCCCATTCTTATCTGCAGGCCACTACGCTATCCAGGACTCTGAATGTCCCTCGTACTCACCTGAATATTTGAAAAATCACTTGAATATTTGGAAAAGTTCTTTTACTGCATTCTGTACACCTTTCAAATGTTGAATCATTTCCTGATCATTAGTATTCCCACTGATTTCCCCAGAAATGTTTGTAGTACCATGAAGATGTCCACATTAAAATGCGGACCTACATTTTCTTTCTTTAGATGTCGTTCTGTAATGGTGAAGCTTGAACCCAGGGTCTTAGGCTCTAGCAGATTTGCATCCCCAGCCCAAATTTTCCTCTTGCTTAAAATCTTCACTTTTATCATCGGAAATAAACACTGTCGGGTACTGAACTCAGGGACTTGGATATTTATCACTGAACTCCATCACTTGGCCTCCTTGCTGAGGAACCAGCAGTTTTTACCCACCAGTGCAGATGCTACTAAATGGAAAGAGCAAACACCTTGGAGTTATTACATAAATAATTTTACCTTGCATGTCCCCCAGGGCCCACAGTACACAGTTCTTTAAAAGATCGTATACCCTCTCCCTGAGAAGCTATTGGCAATCGACAGCTGCTGAGGTGAGAAGAATCATCTTCTTCAGCAGTGCAGTCCCTGTAAGTTGCCCTTGCTGCAGGGAACACCCCTACCCCATACTCATGTGAGCAACCATCACTAAACTCAGCAGGTCACAAAAACTAAAAAACAAAGCAGCTCAAAAATACTGATCCTTGGTAAGCTGTCTCAGTAGTAACCCCAGGGATACTCATGCCAAAATGTGTAATACGAGTTTACTTCACTTGCAGAGTGCATCTCTAGTCCTCAACATGCTGTCTGACACAAACAACAGACTAGTTAACACCCACAAACACGTGCCCTGTGCTAAGTACAACCATCGGTCCTCCCAAACTTCTGAGAACAGTACTTACCATAAATTTAAGATGGAAACACTCACCTGAGATGAAGACACCTGGATTTAGTGCCCAAGGACAGCACTGGAGAGGCTCTTAGCCAGTCTGTGCTAGACCACTAACTTACCAAAGACAGGAATATCTTGCTTTACAGGGATTATGTTCTGGGAATTTTTTTTTTGTTTTTTGAGACAGGGTTTCTCTATGTAGCCTTGGCTGTCCTGGAACTCACTCTATAGAGCAGGCTGGCCTCAAACTCACAGAGACCCACCTGCCTCTGCCTCCTGAGTGGTGGGATTATGGCGTGTGTCACCATGCCTTGCTTGGCTGAGGGAATTTTAAGCTATTACCCTCTGGGATCGCTATTGTGCATGCAGTATACCAGTCCACCAAAATGTCCATTATATAGCATGTGACTTACAAGTTCACTCACCTTTAGAACTTTGTTCTTTCCATGTTATGAAAGAGTTTACTACAACTTGTAAAGACTCCATAAATATCCCAATGGTTTAACTTTCTCTCGGGACCCTCCCTCCTTCCTTTTCTCTTTTTTGTTTGTTTTGTTTTTTTTGTCTTTTTTGAGAAAGGGTCTTGTATAGTCCAGGCTTGTCTCAAACTTGTTTTCTTGCCAAGAATGACCTTTAACCCCTGACCCTCTTGCCTCAATTCAGGCCTGCTGTCATCATGCCTGCCACACAGTACTTTGTAATCATTCTGGTGTGTTGTTCTGAAGTTTGTGTTGTTCTAGAACAGTCTTCTGACCTGTTCTGCGCTCTCTGCCTGGTATCTGGCCAGACTGTAGCAAGCCCTTCAGCCTCTCAACTTCAGCCAGGGTCGACGCATTCGCTATGGCGTTCTAGAGGACACAGGAAAGGGAGACGGGTGATGACAACCACCCAGAAGACACTGCAGAAATCACCCCAGCAACTTTCCCACAGCCCCAACCTGAACACACCCTTACCTTGATCGCTTCCACATCTCCTGCAGATGGCCCACCTTTCTTTTTGTCAGTTGGCAAACCAGCACCTGGATTAAAACTTTGAAGAGAGAATATAATCGTTACATTCTGACTGATGCAAGCTGCTTCTCTTACTTTCAAAAGCTTTTGAAAGTAATTCAACCAGTGTAGTATCTTATCTTTGTTAACAAACTGATACAAGAACTCTCTCCTTCAGAAACACCACCCAAATCCACCTTCCTATAGGAAAAACAGGATGTTTAACACCACATTAAGACGTAAACCAAAATATATGCTCTGCTAACCTGGTAGAAATGTCCCGTGATGTACTGACCATAAATGGCCAGATGCCATCATCATTCAAATGTAAAACCACACTAACCAGAGTTTTGGGTTTAATTTTGTAGGAGGCAAACTGCCAAACAGACAGTGTTTCTGAAGGTGAAGTGGAGTTAAGTTGGATATCCGTGTCTTACGTTTTGCTTCTCCTGGCAATATCCTTTGCAAGCTGTGCACCCCGTTTGCCCTTGAACATTTTCTCTGCTTCCTGTCGCTCCTACAGCAACACCACACACAGAGTTAATCGAAATAGGAATACCACATGCATTGAGATGCATTCCTCAGAAAACACGGAATTCAGAGAATTCTCCTCAAGTATTCTGGGTTGGTAAAAACACCAAAAGCCAACTTTAAATTAGGAGACACAGTGGTCTGACCTCAGGCAAAGCTCTCAAAAAGCCCCCCTTCAAGCTTTAAAGAGGGACTCCCAAGAGACTACAGAGATGAATTAGCACTTCTTACAATGGAAAAGCCATTCTAACAGGCAGAGCTGCTCAAAGCTGGATTATACTGCGCTCCCTTGAAAATATCTAAGCAGACAATTCACTGTGTAGTTCTAGCATTTGGCCAACTTTGGAATGGCCAACAAAGCCCTACCATAAACTGCTAAGAGAACCAAACCAAAACAAAACAAAGTAACTCCAACAAAACAATAACAGACAACCCTGACTTAATGTTTTCTTTCGCACACGTTATATTTCAAAGTAATGGTAAAATTTACTTATAAAGCAACTTCAAAAACTCGGCAATGAAAGCATGAAGGAAATTCTAGACTCCCGGCCAGTGCGTAATACTCACTTTTAGTTTCACCTTCTGAAAGTCCAGCACTCTGACTTGTGGCACTTTGTAAATCACATAAAGTCGGTAATGCTTCTTATTCGTTACAGGATTTCTTAGGATGCTGTAAGAAAGAGGGCAGTGGTAATCTTAGTCACAGCATTCCATGTCAGAGGGTCAGTTGAAAAAGTGTGATGTCTACACGTCAAGAGAAAGCTTGCCACTCTTCCTACTTCACTGTCGCAAGTAACACATACCATCCAGGGAAGAGCGGTTATTAGCAGCCTGAAGGTGTCATTTCACAACTAGTTTTCATACCTTAGATATGTCAGTGATTTGAGAGATGCCAATGGGTCCAGATCACCCTATGAAATAAAATTTGCAGTAAGAACAAGGCCGATAGACATGCTACTGATCTGAGAGTCTGAAATGACGAGTATCTTTGAAGCGATCAGCCACACCATCTTTTACTTATTTTTTACTGCCCTGGCACCTAGTCCAATACTAATACAACACAACTGCTTATCTTCCACTGAATAAACCAGTGAATAATATATTCTGGCTTCTTTAAGTCTTGATGGAAACAGCACCCGCGTCAATAAAAGAAAAAAAATGTTCCTATAGCAATCTCAAAATGGTTGCTAAGCAGTGACTCAAAAATGAAACCAAGGCTAACGCCGGGGACTTACTTGGAGCAAGCTATTTATACGGGAACCTCAAGCCAAGATCTTGGTCTAACGTGGGGTTTTTGTTGTTTGAGACAGAATCTCCTATAGCTTGGGCTGGCCTTGAGCTTGCTACGAAGCCTAGGATGGTCTTCAATCCCGATCCTCCCAAACGCTGGAATTATGGGTACATGGTGCCACACCTGGTGTAAAATGTCCTTTCTTATTAGTGTATCCCTAAGTGGCCTTGGGAAGTATTCTCTTTGAAAAGGTACTGTTATCCTAGCACACCCCCGCCTCCATCTCTTCAAATGTTTTCAAAGCCAAGGTGAACAGCAGAGCTTAAAAAATTATGGTGGCATGGTGGCAGTCATGGTGGCACAGGTCTTTATCCCAGCACTGGGGAGGCAGAGACAGACAGCTCTTAGTGAGTTTGAGGCCTATTCTATGTAGTGAGTTAAGGCCAGCCAGGGCCACATATTCTCAACTCTTCCCAAATTGTCCTGGAAACTATAATGGAACAAATAGAGCAACACTAAAAGTCTACTACCAAAGGCTACAAGCAAACTAAACAAGGTATTCTCTATATTGGGAATAGGTAGGGACCCCAGCTACAGGACTTGCACAGTATTTGTATAGAAAGAAAGAGGGAAGGCAAGAAGGCATGTGATAAACCAGAGACCTCTGTATAGCCCAGAGATGACAGATTTGAGAATAGCTTCCCAAAGATCTGCATGATCAATAGTAAGTGCAGGGAGATCGGCTAGGGTGTGATGGGGCTATAGCAATGTGGATCCTTACACTTGTCATATCTTCTCCCATCTGGGATAATGTGCTATAATCCTCGTTGGTCAAAGTGTGTCCCTTTCAGGACAAACTCCTGCACTAAGGAAAAACTTGGAATAGACCTAAATCGAGTAACTCAAGAGGGACATTGGGAAATAGCACAGACGAAAGCAGTAGCAAGTACTGACTTCTGCAGCACAAAACTGGAAGGAAACAGAGAAGGTCAGTGTGGCCTTGTAAATGGATGACATGTATCTTTCTGAAGTGGCTCACAATTTTAAAAAGCAGTGACAGAAAACAGTTCTCAGAAAGCAAGCAGCCATTTTCATACTATCAGAGGGAGAGCTAGAGCTTGAAAACTGGTGCACTGTCACAAAGATCAAACAAACAACAACAAATCCCCTAAAGCGTCTGTTATACATACCCAGTACAGAATACAATGACAGATGGGTTTAAAAAAAAATAGCTGGGCTGTAGCTTGGGGGGCAGGGCTTACCTAGCATCCTAAAGGTCCTAGATTCAGTTTTTGATTCTATACTGTATCACCTAAGGCACTCGTTCTAAAAAGATCCCCTGCTAGGACCTATTATCCCCCCCACCTGTGTGCCAGGAGAGTGCTGGCTTTAAAACTGGGTATAGTGGCTCATGCCTGCAATCCCAGCATTTGGAGGCTAAGGCAGGAAGACTGTAGTGAGGAGTTCAAGGCCAATGTAGGCTACATATAAGTTGTAAGTCAGCCTGGGTGACAAGGTTATGGGACTGTCTCAAAATACAATACAGGTTGATCTTGGTTGTCTACCAAAATCCGATGGTAAGACCCTATTGGTGAAAGCAACACACACTTTTGTCACAGACATGAGAAACCGAGTTTGTAACGACCAGAAGCTTTCTCCCAGCTGGCTAGCTTTCACAGTACCAGAAGGTGCTAGGAAAGGAAAGTCATCACAGTCTTCCCCAGCTGTGAATACTGTCAGCTCAGTAACAACCATGTGGCAAGATATACCCATGGGCGCAGTGGTCTCACGAAGTTACAGCATAAACAATTGTTTTCTGATTTAAGACCTACTTCCACAGGAGAAAATGCATGCCTGCTACAATAAATGTGGCTAGCTGAGAGCTCACAGGCTCTAGGGGTAGACGACCATTATTATTTTGCTAACTGGACACAGTATCAAACTGCCCTCTAAATAAGTATCTCTAGCCCCACAGGTTGGTAGTGTAGTTCTTGGACCTCATCAGAGGGGTTTCTTTGTGGAGTGGATGGCAGTTTATGAAAAAACTCACAGCAGGCCAAAGTATAGAGAATAAGTGTCTCTGGAGGGCTGAGCCACAACGGGACATCTATTCCATACCTCTTTTCCACAGACTATTGAGGAGGAAGGGCAATGGAAAGACAGAAAAATGGGCCATACAGTGTTTCCTGGACACGCCAGGACCACTACACTTACTGAGTTCACAGTGGTTGTGGTCATCTGCACAAGACCAAGATAGCCCATTCACAGGTAGGGCAACTGGGGAAGGAGAGTCAGTATTCTTTAAGGGTGTGGCTCCTGGTAGGGCAGCCTTTCTCCTGTAGATGGCTCCACACCCCTGTGTATGTGGCCAGCATGAATAGGACATGGTGGGTTAAAAAAAAAGAGTGGGGGGGGAGGGGCAGTATGGTAGCTAGCACCTGTAATCCCAGTACTTAGGGAAGCAGATCTCTGAGTTTGAGGCTAGCCTGGTCTACAAATCGAGTCCAGGAGGACTGCCAAGGCTACACAGACAAACCTGTCTTGAAAACCAAAAAGTGTGTGTGTGTGTGTGTGTGTGTGTGTGTGTGTGTGTGTGTGCGCGCGCGCGATGGGTTTGGTGGCTCAGGAGGCAGAGGCAGGAGGATCTACAGAAACACCCTACCTCACAAAAAAAGGGAGGAAATGAAATTGTGAGGTGTGCAGAGATATGGGAAGCATTGGGGGTAAGTATGACCAAAATTGTATACATGTATTAAATTCTCAAAGAGTAAAAATATCACGTTAGAAAGAATAATTATTGGTTGACTTTAAACTAATGAAGTTGCTGACTAAGAATAGAAGTAGATACAGCAAATAATTTCCAAGCCATTTGAAGGAAAACTGAAATGACAGAGACCATGCACATGCATACATACACAATAACGATAATAATAAACAGAGGGCAGATGACCCAGAGAAAGACAAACTGGGACATGCCAGCAATACCATTAAATGTAGATAAGATATAGGCGATGCATTAAAAGACAGATATAACAGCAGATTTTTAAAAAATCCTATCATAGGGGCTAGAGGGATGGCTTAGTGGTTAAGAGTACTTCTTATTCTTGCCTAGAATCCAGGTGAGATTCCCAGGACCCATGTGGTGACTCACAGCCATCTGTAGCTACAGTTTTTAGGGGATCTGATCCTCTTCTGAGCTTTGTGGGCACCAGTCACACATGTGGTACACATATATGTATGCAGGCCCCACGAACACATAAAATAAATTTAAAAATTAAAAAAAAAATCCTATCATATGCAGTTTTTTAAGAGACAACAAAAGTGAAAGAAAGTTAATTCTGGATGAAAAAGACTTGTCATGGAGCATTTAACCAAAACCAAAACAAGACAAAAAACAAAAACTGAAAACTTTATTTGGGCATATTATTATTACATGACATTAACCTCCAAGTCAAACAGTATTTAACAGAGACAGGTCCCAAAAAAGCTAATCAAAAGGTTCAGTTACCAGGAAAATACTAACAAATTAAAAACCTGTATGTATTAAGATACCTAAAACTAGGCTGGAGGTGGTAGCACACGCCTTGGATTCTAGCACTTTGGAGGCAGATGCAGGCTGATCTCTTTGAGTTCGAGGCCAGCCTGGTCTGAGTCTAGCATAGCCAGGGCTACACAGAGAAACCCTATCTCAAAAAATAAAGGGCAAAACAAAACAAAAATCTAAGCTGACAAAAATCCAGCCAGGCAACAGAATCTGTTATTATGATATGATAATCTTAACGTATCACTTTCAGTAGGTATATACAGGAACAGCTACACTGGCTGGCCAGTGAGCCCGAAGGATCTCACTCTGCCTCCCAGTGCTTGAACTGCAGACTAGAGCCACCTTGCCCAGTTTGTTTGCTTGCCTGCTTGCTTGTTAGAACCCAGGTCCTCATGCTCACGTGGAAAGCACTTTATCTCATCAGACCCAAACAATTTAAAACTTGCTAGTAGCTATGTTAACATAAGAAAATGGATAAAACCAAATTTAACCTCTTATCTAAAATTTCAATGCTCCATGGATATAAAAAGCCACTAAGAAAGTTTACAAAACCTTCATTTTTTAATACTAAGTCTGAAATCTGGCAGGTACTTTACAGTTCTGCCTACCTCACCTAGAAACTGAGATTAGGGTACCGCACTGAACACTGCAACTACAAAACATGAGTCTGTTTATACATGAAGGGAAAGAAACATTTCAACAGACCCTCAGAAGCACTAGTGACAGTGACTGATAAACTAGACTGCGCTCGCCTAAGACTCCACGGAATCAAAAATCAAAAGGTACACCTGAGTGGGCAAAGACAGCTGTGGCATTTATAAGCCAAATGCCTTGCCAAGTCCCAAACCACAACCAAACCACTACGACAACAATAATAATTAGGAAAAAACCCAAAGAGAAACTAGTAGATAATTTTTTGAAGCAGGAAGTACCCTTAACCTTGCCCTTTAAAGCGTTTTCTCCATTCAACTTACCAGTTCCACTAGACTGTTGTTGGTGAGAATGAGTTCTGTGAGACAGGGAAGAGCCTGATCAAGTCCCTCACCTATACGGCTAAAATAAAAATAAAGGGTCTCGGTGAAAACAAAAATTGAATGCGCTAACATTTATCTCCACCCCTGCAAGTATTTAACACCTCAATGTTAGAATACCCTTCTCCCACTCCCTATCTCAGGGAAACCATCAAAGATGGAGCCTGGTCTGAGGTACAGGGTCAGTGACAGGTACGATGACCTCAAATCCATGTCTCCTGAGAGTCTTTCCATTGCCTGCACTGGGTCTGGTGCAACTCAAGGAAAGGCGAGATTCTGGGGTAGAAAAAAACTACTTAGGCGATTTACAACTTTTTGTTAAAAAAAACCTCAAAACTCGGTAATTCAGTAGTCAGAGAGCTGGGGGTAAGACATTCATCAGAAGACAATGGTTAATCATGAAAATGGCTTCTCCAAAAAATATCACTCAGTGCTTTTGTATGTGTATGGTATGCACTTACGTCACATACCAATTTTGTTCTTGGTACCTGTAGAAGCCAGGGTTTAGGACTACCTGGAATTGGAGTTGTAAGCTTCCATGTTGGTCTAGTAAAAAACCCAGGTATTCTGGAACCGGAGCAGCTAGTACTCTTAAACTGAGCCAGGTCTCCAGCCCCTGGATTCTTTTCTTAATAAAAGCCTTGCTCACTGGGTGGTAGCGGCACACGCCTTTAATCCTAGTGCTTGGGAAGCAGAGGAAGTCAGATCTCTGAGTTCGAGGCCAGTGTGGTTTACAGAGTGAGTTTCAGGACAGCCAGAGGTACACACAGAAACCCTGTCTCAAACAAACAAAACAAAACAAAACAAAACAAATAGGATCTTAATTTCATAAAATTATATTCTAGAAAACAACTACAAAACAAAAAAAAAACAGCAGGATATATGAAGTATAGGCACTCAGTGAAAAGTAGTATCACTTCATTAGCACTGGCTGGAACTTGCTTTATAAACAACACTGGTCTTGAACTCACAGAGATCCGCCTGACTCAAACTCCAAAGTGTTAAGATTAAATGCAGAAAAAATTATACCTGTCCTTTATAAATATTTTTATTCTGATCTGCTCTAGAATCTAAAATAAATACATAGCAACATGTCTTAACTTCAAAGTTTAGTATCAGTTCCAAATATTTAAGCTCTCTGAAGAGTGGCAAGTAAGGGCAAACCAACGACCAAGTTAATACCCCAATCTCGTAGGAAAAGTGCTCTATTCATTTCTCCTTTAGGAGACATAAAGTGGCCAGAGAGGTGGCTCAGCAACTCAGAACTCTGGCTGCTCTTCCTGAGGACACAGCTTCTATTCCTAGCACCTGGGGAAGCTCAACTGTATTCAACTCCAGCTCCAGTGAAACTGGCACCCTCTTCTGGCTTCCAAAGGCACTAGGCAGATATGTGGTAGACACACCTGCAGGCAATACACTAACATACGTTAAAATAGAAAAAAAAAAAGTCTTCAGGGTACATTGTAATGTCTACTTCAGGGAAAAAAAGGTATTCTTACTGGCAGACACTCACCAAATTCTGTTGTTGTTCACTAATAACGTTTTCAGTCTTCTCAACAAAGGAAAACCATCCAGTTTCCTGATCTCATTGTCAGAAAAATCAATAGCATCAAACTGGTCTAAGGTAGCACCTAGATTTTCAATGACTGGAATTTTATATCCTGTAGGAGAGGAAGAGATCCATAAAACAAATATTAATATAAAGGAAAACTCCTAAAAATAGGAGGAGTGTTTGATGGTGATTTGAGTCAGAGCTTTCATTCAGGAAGTATTAACCTGGCCCTGGTACCGTGTCAAGCAGTGTACAAAAACACTAAAGATAAATGACAATGAGGTAATGTGGGGTCCTTTGTGCCATGAGGCTTGCAGTCTCGCAGTAAACTCGAAGAGGCTGCAGGAAGAGCAGGAACAGATGGGCATTTTTACTAGTACTGGTGCCCACGTTTTACAAGACCATCTACAAGGTATTCAGACTGTTCTAAGTCCTTAGAGTTGCTAGGCTTCACGACAAAAAATTAACACTTTCAACTACTTACTGTTATGCCCAAGCCTTGTCCGGGCACTCCTGACAGGTGTTCTCAATCTGTCACATAACTCAGCAGTGTATCCTCAAGATATCCCAACTCACGCTCTTCCCCGCCAGCTCCAAAAATGGCCAGGGCCAAAAATGGTTTATATGCAACTACGAATCGCATTGTGAGCATCCCCGTGATTGTCTAATGGGCATAAAAATCCAGCTAGGTACTATAGAAAGAAAAGGAGTGAAGTACACCATTCAGTTGTGAGAGAGTGCAATAAAACACCAAAACAAGTATTCTCGAGGCTGCACGGTCTTCAGAGACACAGCAGAGACCAAAAATGCGCCAGGGCAGTAGGAGGATCCAGATTCTCCTGCACCGGACTTTTCTCTGAGAAAGTTAAGTTCAACAAATGAAAGCACTAGGATTGCCCACAGGTCAGCAAGAAATTTTAGCAAATGGCAGTGCATAACGCCCTGAAACCGTGGTTGCCTCAGGTCAGTCTCATAGCCTTCACCCCTTTCAAAGCCATCCCTTGACAAGCTAATGCCTGCGCTCTCAACGTTTTAATAACCAAGCTCTATTGTTGTCAGAGCTGAACAGGTGAGAGTGTCCACCACCCCACACACGGAAGTGACCGTTTAGCCTTGGTCCAACACCTCAGTTTTAAAAACACCTTTATAAAAGCGAAAGGTCAGGGGCGGATGTGGCTCAGTAGGACGAGTGGCTTGCCTAGCGGGCACAAAATCCTGGGCTCATCCGAGGCACCACATAAACATGGTGCACGCATTTAAGCCCAGCACTCGGGTTTAAATACGGTGCACGCACTTAAACCCAGCACCCGGGAAGTGGACGGAAGAGGGTACGAAGTTCGAGGAAGTCCTTGACTACAAGGCTGTTTGATGCCAGCTCGGACTACACGCTGTCTCAAAAACACACGAACAAAGCCAAACGAGAATTACTGGACAACTAGGATAACTGCGGCATGTGTCCGACCTACCCTCACGTGTCACAGTAACCCATTGGCTAAAGCCTCGCCGGCCGCCGTCCCGTAGGCGCCGTTTTCTATTTCCCTACCCCTCAAACAGTTCAGGCTGCTGAACACGCGAGGCAAAGCCTAACGAGTACGGACCGGAGAGGGAATCGAGGCGCCGTGTCTGCCAGCAGGAGCACGGGTAAGAGACAGTCCCAAAGGGTCCCGCGAGACCGTCGGTCGCCGGCACCCCGAGACCCGGTGGGAGGCCCGGGGGCCGGCCTCCGGCCTCGGCGCACGCGGCGGGGCCGGCTTCTCGCAGCCGCACGCCGGGGCCCAGGCAGGGACTGCTCCCCGCCCGACTCACCCCGGAGGTCCAGCTCTCGGTCCCGCACAGCATTGGTGTACTGCGCCGCCTGCTCGATCAGCTCCGCCGTTAGTTTCACCATCCTGTTGCCGCCCGCGTCGTCGCCTCGGCCACCGGCCTGCGCCTCCCGCCAGTGCGGCGTCCCAGAGTGCACCGCGCTGCGCTGCCAGACAGCACCAATCGGAGCTCAGCGCAACTCGAACACTAGGCCAGAGCAATCGAAAGCGCAGCCGGGCGGTACGATCGTCGGCTTGGATTGTGGGTTCCCCGGGTGGATCGTGCCTCGGGAGTGTGGAGAGCCCAGATTCCAGACGTTTGTGTCTAAAGATAAGGACACGCGAGAGGCGCCCTTCCTCTCACGTCAGTGCACCTCGAAGGAGGGGTAGTTGGAACTGTTCCTCCCCCCACCCCATTCCCACTCCCACCAACTTCTCCACCCAACAGTCACCCAGAGACTCCGTGAAGGATCCAGGGCGTCAGGTACCTAAGCGCTTGACTTGGGCATCCCATAGATACCGGGCAGGGTCAGTCGGTGGATTGCCTTAGGACCTGACACATACGACCTGTTACAATCACCTTAAAGCTTGAGGCTGGACTTTGGGCCTCCAGACATTTAAGTATTCATATCGAGGGGCTGGTCAAATGGCTTAGAAGTTAAGAGCGCTTGCTGCTTTTGCAGCGGATTTTAGTTAGCATTCCAGTACTAGCTGGTCGCCTCACAACTGCTTGCAACTCCAACCTCTGAGGATTCTTGGCCTTTTTCTAGCCTCATCGGACACCCGCCATCGCAAGGATACACATACACACATAAAAATAAAATAAATCTTAAGTGATATTCATATTGAAGGCCGGGCGTGGTGGAGAATGCCTGTGATCCCAGCACGTGCGAGGCGGAGGGAGGTGAATCTCTTGAGGTGGAGGCCATCTGTTCTACTGAGCCAGTTCCAGGACACCCAGGGCTACTCAGGAGAGCACACAAATCAGGGAACACACCGTACCTGCGGAACCTTGCTTGGCCTCTGTCCCCAAAGGCCACCAGGAGCCTAATTCCACAAATCAGTGTGCTTTTTTTTTATTATTATTATAGCTTATTAATTAGAGTAGATGCCATCTGTGTGGGGGTACAGGGGAGACTTTTGGCCTGACATTCCCTGGAGTTGGCCGTTGTGATCCTGTAGACGTGTGTTAAAGTTGAACTCTGGTCTTTTGCAAGAGCAGAAAGCACTTCTTAAGCATTTTTGTTGTTGTTGTTGTTTTGCTTAAATTACCTGTGTAGCTCTGTGGTTTTGTGCACATAGGTGCAAATACCCACAAAGGCCAGAGGTGCCAGATTCTCTGAAATTAGAGTTACAGGTGGTTGCTGGGAACTGAACTCAGGTCCCTTGAAAAGAGCTGTAGGCAATATTAACTGCTGAGTCCTAGAATGACTGACCTGAGGATGATTTTGAACATCTCACCCTCCTTCCTCCACCTCCGTGTGCTAGGATTATTAGAGTAAATTTATGTAGTGGTAGGAATGGAACCTGGGTTTCTGTGCATGCTGAAGTAAGTACTGAGCCACATTCCCATCCCTGGTTTTGGTTATTTTCAGACAGGGTTTCACACTGTAGCTCACGTTGGCCTGTACATCACTGCAATACTCCCAACTCAGTCTACCAAGGGCTGTGGTTACTGATAGAACACTAAAATGGCTAAAGTAACGCCACCTTGTCCTGACTCTATTTTGTGTCTAGACAGTCCACAGTTTCCCCTCTGCCTCCAATGGCCACAATCCTTGGCAATGTTTTTGGGACTGTTCATGTCCCTGATCATAGTACAGATGTATTAATCTGAATAACTGATGATTGTGCAGGAAAAAAATAAAATAAAACTCAAAGAATTAAGAGGAAGTACAAATCAGAAATAATTGTTATGTGTTGCCTGGAAAATACCACTAATCTTGTAAAAAGACAGAGTTGCTCTGACTGCTCCCCCAACACTGATGTAATTGTGGTTTTCATCTTTAAAACTTCTGTACCCCTGAGCTTCAGCACCAAGAAGCATGAGCCCAAACTTGATTTCCAGCCAATAAAAGATTTTAGATACACCTAAGTGGCTCAGTTAGTGTGATTGTCAATAACTATCTCACATGGACCATTTCACCACCATACCTAGCTAATCATTGTGTTTTGATTTGTGTGTGTGTGTATGAGTGTGTGTGTGTGTGTGTGTGTATGTAGTAAATGCACGTGTCTGTGGATGCACCTACCTGTGAGCATCTGGAGGGCAGAAGAGTAAGTAAGTGTCCTGCTCTAGTACTCTGTCTTACTCCCTTCAGATGGGGTCTTTCATTGAAACTAGACATAGGCTGGCAATGAGAAATCCCTCAGTGATATTTGATCATTGTGAGTCCTGAGATTATGTGCTGGAAAAACCTGTTTCTAGTTGTGGTATGGCTCCGCCCTAGCACACACCTTTAATCTAAGAGCTATCTGTGAACAGGATTAAGTAAAATCAACTGTAGGTCAAGAGGCAGAGCAAGCAAACAGTTGACAGGGAATGAACATAGGAAGCAAAAACATAGAGTAAAAGAAAGTCCAGGGGACAGATAGAGAGATGCGCAGGAAGTAGAAGGGGGTGGGGAGCATTCAGTTTGAAGGGTTTTTTTTTAGACAGCATGGAGAAGGGGAAGGGCCTATTCCTTCTGGGACTTCAGCTGAGTAGGAAGGTCAGCTGGGAGCTTTCTCTGCCTCTCTGAGGTAGTAGGCTTTCACCCCAGCATCTGGTTCCTGACTATTGGTAAAATCAAACATTTGAGATTTTGCCTAAAGACAACAGTGATCCTTCAGTGTCTATATCCACTTAATCCCCCAGCACTGGGAGTGCTGGGGTTACAGGCCCACAGTACCACACCTGGCTTTCTATGTGGGCCTTGGGGACTCTGGTTCTAATGCTGGTGCAGCAAGTGCTCTTCATTGCTGATCTGTTTCCTAGCCCTTCACCTTGGTTTATGCTTTTTGCCTGATAAAAACAATTTAATGGTGGAAACATTTCTTTTGGCTTACAGTTAGGATATACATCATCATGGTGAGTAAGATAGAGGAAGAGTTGGCTGTAGGTGTTTGAGGCAGCTGTCATATTGTCTCTGCAGTTAGGAAGCAGAGAGAAATGAATGCTGTATCTATCTCCCTTTTATTTCTTTATTTGACCTGGAACCCAGCTCATAGAATCTTACTCAATCTTACTCAGGGTGGATTTTTTTTTAATTCAGTTAAACTTGTCTAGAAATGCACACCTAAAGGAAGGCCTCACTCATGCAGTGTATCTGGAGTCAGTATAGGAAGAAAGTGCTCAAAATATGCTTTTCATAGGGAATGGCACTATTAGGTGGTGTACCATTGTTGAAGGAAGTGTCACTGTTAGGGCCTGACTGAAGAGGTTTCAGAGAAGAATTTTAGTACATGGCCTAGAGACTGTTCTTGTGCTATTTTGGTGAAGAATTTGGCTGCTTTTCGCCCTTGTTCAAAAAGTTTGCCTGAGGGTAAAATGAAGAGTTTTAGATTAATTCCATTGGCAGAAAATCTCTCAAAATAGCCTAACTGTTGTCTGGTTATTAATGTTCACTCTTATTTAAATCAATAATGAAAAGGACCAAGCTGAGAAAGGAAAAATACAAAATGTACATTTGAGGAGAAAGGGGGTACCAAAAAATGAAATGGAGTTAAATCCTGTGTTCAAGGAGATAAAAAGTAAAGAAAAGCTAGATGTTAAATGGAATATAGGGAGTGGTGACCTCAGGGCAATACCCGAACCCACCTAAGCTTCCAACTTGTGAAAAAATAATTAAGGAAACAAGAAAGGGAATTAAAGAAAAGTGAAAAGGAATCAAAGGAAAACTTAGGGCCACACCTTTAATCCCAGCACTCAGAAAGCAGAGGCTGGTGGATCTCTGAGTTTGAGGCCACCTGGTCTAGAGTGAGTTTGCTCAAGCTTAGACACTGCTGAAAACAGAAGTCTTCTGAAGATGTAATTGAATGAGGGATCATGTTTCAGCCCCGGCAAGCAGCAGAACAGTGGCACTATGAGGAGATGTGGCCCTATTAGAAGAAGTGTGTCACTGTGGGGGTGGGCTTTGAGATCTCCTGTACTCAAGCCAAGCCTAGTGTGGTGCACAGTCTCCTTCTGCTGCTTGGGAATCAAAATGTAGAACTGTAGGCTCTTTCTCCAGCACCGTGTCTGCCTGCACACTGCTGTGCTTCCTGCTGTGATGATAATGGACTAAACCCCTGAAACTGTAAGCCAGCCCCAGTTAAATGTTTTCCTTTGTAAGAGTTGCTGCAGGCAAGCCAGGTGATGGTGGTGCATGCCTTTAACCCCAGCACTTGGGAGGCAGGGCCAGGCGACTCTCTGAGTTCAAGGCCAGCCTGATCTCCAGAATGAGTTCTGGGACAGCCAAGGCTGCATAGAACAACCCTGTCTCGAAACCCAAACAAACAAACAAACAAACAAACAAACAAAATGCTATAGTCATGGGGGTGTTTTCACAGCAATAAAGCCCCAACTAAGACATTATCTGAAAATTACGTTGACTCAATGCCATATTCAAAGACTATTCTTCCCTCACTTCTCTCTGAAGCCACTCTTGTCAAAACCAAGCTTGTCAAGGTCTAGACATTCTCTTCCATGGGTATATTTGCATTATATCATACTGTTTTAATAATACATGCTTTATAAAAGAACATCAAAGCTTCATTTTTTTCTCATTATGTTGGTTATTCTTGTCCTTTATAGCTCTTAAATAGAAATCTTAGTTAGATCTTATGTCTAAAAAGATTTTTTTTTTTTGCACCAGGCAGTGATGGTGCACGCCTTTAACCCCAGCACTCAAGATGCAGAGACAGTCAGTTCTCTAGTTTGAGGCCAGGCTGGTCTACAGAGCAAGTTCCAGGACAGCCAAGGCTACACTGAGAAACCCTGGCTCAAAACAAAAAGAAAAAATGGTTGGTTGGTGGTGGAACATGCCTTTAAACTCGGCACTCATGCAGGAGGGAGAGGCAGGCAGATCTCTGTGAGTTCAAGGCCAACCTGGTCTAAAGAGTGAGTTCAAGGACTACCAAGACTATACAATGAAACCCTGTCTTGAAAAACCAAACAC